ATGCAAAATTTAGTTGGGTGAAAGATTCTGTTGGATTTTGTTGTGAATTTGCATAAGTAATATCATGGAATTTCAAAATTTTTGAGAATTTGTTTGTAATTGTGCCGGTTATTATGTGATCATTGGGATAAGTATCAGATGTGAATGATGAAATAGTGCATTATTGGATTAGTTTATACATGTTTATGTAAAACTTGACATTTTCTATGCACGTTACTTATGTTTGGCATATTGAGTTAGTGATGCAGTTCATTATGTATAGGATAGTTGAACATAGTAATTTCACCCAAATACCCTCTAGTGTATTATTCCATAATTCAACAATAGGTTAGTTTGGAGATGATTGAACTGTTACAAAGGAACATTGAGATGAGAAGGAATTCTGTGCATGAAACTTTTGTGTGGATTGTCTAAAATCTGATAAGATGAAAACGAGGTGAAAGTTTTAAGTTAAAGGTTAGTTTAGAAACTGGATGTCTAAAAGAACATGGGCATTGCACTAATCTTTGAGTATATTGAAGCATCTTTTCGAGCCTATATAACTCGGGTGATTAAGCCTGTGAGGGTGATTTAAAACCTGATATCCTATGATCATCTGACTTGGGGAGTTATCGGCCTAAAACTCGCTACATGGGTTATATAGAAAGCAAATGAGAAGATATTCAAATAAAAAAATGAAAAAAAAAATGGAGAAAACGTTGAAAGAAAAAAAAACATACACTTAATACATTGATTATGCCCCCATCCAGTTGACAAAACTACACATTTGATGAGAAGCAGTAACTTAGTCTAGTTTTAAGGGTTAAAGCAATCAGAAATATAGGAGAATCTCGACTTGTTGAAATGTGAACTTGTAGGAGTAAGATCTATCCAAACTACAAGAAAGTAAGGAATAAAATTGAAAAGTTGAACCTATGATGCACCCTGGAAAAAATGAGTGAAAATCATAAGTTTGGGGGTGTGTGTGTCTCTCGAGTGAGGAAATGATATTTTTGACTACATTGGGACAAGTGCTGAACCATTCACAATATTGATATGCTAACATGAGTTTTCACACACACAACANCACGTCAGATTATGCATGTAACAGGTGGAGACTGATTTAATTTTTGAACTATTGTGATTGTTCATTTGTTTGACTACTATATTTCAAACCCGAGACATGATATATTGTTAAACCATTTTGTTTGTGGAATTGAGTTATATGGTTGTTTGAGGACAAACAATAGTTCAAGTTTAAAAGAGTTTGATAAGTGCGTTTTTACATACTTATTTTACTATGAAAACATGAGAAATTATTGATTAATATGTTGAAATATAGCTTAATTCTATACAATTTATGTTTTGCAGGACAAAGAGACGAATGTAACGGAAATAAGGAGAAACAAGTGAAAAAGACCAAAAATGAGGAAAACGAAAGTTCGAGGACTAAATTGCAAATATCCAAAAGTTGGTTCGGAAGGCAAAATGAAGATATGAAGATTTGAAAGTGTTAGAAATCAATTGGATGAGGAAAGAAGCCAAATGGATGAAATATAATCAAAGAACTATCACACATCAATTTTCAAGCTGAAAAGTTTTGTACCGATTTTTAGCCTCATATTGAGACCAGATTTTGACATGGAAAATGATCGAATTCGAAGATATAATCTGAAGAAAAGTTTTATCCCTTTGAGTTAGCTTTCCACGCATGTTGAATCACCTTAATCGGATATCGGGAGAGAAAGTTTTGATAAAAATACTGAAACCTGACGGAAAAAATGTGGTTATAAATCCATGCGGTCGCATGGTTATAAATCCATGTGATCGCACAGAAGCCTTCAGCGAATCAAGAGGCTGAAATACTTTGTTCCATGCGACCGCATGGGTTTATAACTTGTGGTCGCATAGGTCATTTCTGTGACGAAAATTCAGGCTTCCTTCTATGACTCAAACTCTTTTGGCCAGAACGCCTCATTCTTCATTCTATACCATTCATTCATTGATTTGGCTCAAGAAACACATGAGGAACTAAAGATCTTGATGAATCTAAAAGGAATTCGGTTGAAATTGATGATTTCATATATTTTATTCAATTATTTTGATCTTTTCATTGTCAAACAATGCTAAAATTTAGGTTTTCATTCTCATAAATTTACATTGAAATTAGTTTTATTTTTATTAGATTTTTCATGGATTCAGTCATGTTTTTTCTGTTGTTTAATCGAAATATTTGTTGAATTTCAATTTCATGAATATATGTTGAGTTTGATTTAACTTTTATTAAATTAATCATAGATTCAGTCATGCTTTTTCTATCGACGAATTGAATTAATTGTTGAATTGATATCTCAACTATTTTATTGGTGTGATTCATTTACTAATTTATGCTTGAAGTATATAGTCGATTTATGAATCTAATTTCAATAAAATGATGTAAACATGTCATAAATCTAGATTATATGATTACATTTGTAAAATAAATTGGTTTTCACGATAAATCGTTCGATTAGAGTGTCGGGATGAAAACCTCTAATCGAGTTATAAAACTGAATAATTGATGTGAATAATCCAATCCAACCGAGGGAATTCCGATACTTCACTATTTTAAATTATTATTTTTTAACTTCATTTTTCCAATATTGAATTCAACTACACTCTTGAGAGAACAATCCATCCATTTTAAATCCTTTAAACATTTTTCCATCTCCATTTGGATACGACACCCCAAAACTGCACTACAACTACCGCGTTATTCTTTGGGCGTAATCACCATCCCATTTACTATTTGGGCCAAGTGGAATTTTGCATAGTTACGTGGAGGAAATTACACAAAACCAGATTTTTAAAGATGCAAATTCAAAAACTAGATCACAACTTTTTATTTATACAAAAATCAGACCATCTAATTAATATTATAAAACTAAAAATTAATTTATATACACCCCATGCACACACCCCCATTTTAAATCCCTAAATCACCCGATTCACAGTTCACTTCTCTCTCTCTCTCTCTCTGGTGATGGCGGCATAGAGGGGCGGTGGCGATGGTGGTTGTGGTGCCGATCTTGTGATGGGCGGTTGGTCGTGGTGATGGTGGTGGATTTGGCGGCGGCACCGACTGCTCATCTTCTCTCCTCGTTGCTGATCCGTGTCGTCACAGCGGCGTTTGCCGTTTGCCGCTGTGATGACGTCGTTCGTCTCTCTCCTCTCCTCGTTGTCATCAAGCACTAGCACGGCGGTACCGACCGACCGCTCATCTCCTTTCCTCGTTGCTGATCATCCACGATGATGCCGTGGGTGATTTGTGTGTGACAGAAGAAATGATGAAATATGTGATGGTGCGGTGTGGGTGACAGAAGAAAGGATTTTCTACAGCGGCACCTCGGTGATTTGTGTGTGTGGGACAGAAGAAAGGATGAAATATATGATGGTGCAGTGTTGATATGTGAGAACGGTGGTGAGCAGTGGTGATCCGTGTTTGGGTGTGGTATGAATGGAGATTCATGAGATGGTGTGCCGTGGGTGGGATGAAATATGTGATGGTGCAGTGGTGGTATGTTGTTGTGCGATGGTGGTTGATCTGTGGTTTTAATAATGTTTAGGTGGTGGTTTGTGTGGTGGTGGTGCTGATGATGTTAGCTACGGTATTTGAGACGATAGTTTGCTGTCGGGAGGTGGTGGTGGTAGTTCCGGCAACGGTGGCTTCGGCCACCATGCTGTCAGTAACAGTGGTGTGGTGGTGGTCACAAGTATTGGTGGTGGTAACAGATTATTTGGTTGTGTATGACTATTAAATTGATTAATTTATGACCAATAAATAATATGTGATCAATAAAAAAGATAATTCGTGACCAAGAAATAATGCGTCACATAAAATATTGTTAATTTGTGACCGATAATTTGACAATTTGTATCTGTTTACTAAGTTGTGATATATAATATTTGTGATTTGTGACCGATAAATAAATTGTGATATATAAAGTTTTTTATTTGTGACCGATAAACAAATTATGACTAATAAAATTTCTGAATTGTGGTCGTAAAATAATTTGCGACCTATAAAATTTCTGATTTGTGATCGTAAAATAATTTGTAATTTATAAAATTTTTGATTTGTGACCAATGAACAAATTGTGACACGTAAAATTTTTGAATTGTGACCATAAAATAATTTGTGACGTTTCAATTTTTTATTTGTGACCGATGAACAAATTGTGATCTATAAATTTTTTGAATTGTGAGCGTAAAATAGTTTGTGACATATAAAATTTGCGATTTGTGACCAATTATATGAAATTTATGACCAAATTATATGGAATTGTGACCTTAATGCATTTAATTAAGAAAAATTTATTTTAATTAATTATTTTATAAATTTAATTATGAAATTTTCTCTAGGTAGTGTTCGAACGTAGCTAGTGTGTAATAGGAATTATAATTTAGATTTCAAGTAAAAATCAATAATTTATTTTATTAGTATATTTCACATGATTCATAACTTTCTATTAAAATATTTTATCAATTTTTATTAAAATTTATTAAAAATATAAGAGCCGATGATGAAATGATATCGGGTCATCCGGGTCTCACCAGCCACGAATCCAAGACGATCCAAACTCCAAGTACATCATTCCGGAGCCGTCCAACTCACTGATCCATCCATCCCATTTCCATTAAAATTCAAAACACAGACAAAGAAGAATACTCACAAATTGAAATTTCACTGCTAACTGTAAATTATAAACCCAACCGAATGGCTAATTGCTTCCGAGTACCAATGGCTTCTTCACTCCCCTGTTCCTCATCCTCTTCCCCTTCACTCAAACGACGTAGTATCGGGACTCTATGTTCAATGAACAGTACCAAAATTCCCATGCCTCCAGTTAACCCTAAGGACCCCTTTCTGTCGAAGCTCGCTTCTGTGGCTGCTACTTCACCTGAAGTGCTCCTCAATAGTCAGAAAAACTCTGATACGCCGCCGTATTTGGACATCTTTGACTCCCCTACGCTCATGGCTACTCCTGCCCAAGTACCCATGTTTTTATTTGGCTTCTACACTTTTATGTATTCTCGTATTCTTATTATTGGTTAGGAATATTTACTTAGTTGATGATGTTCTTAATCTTCTGATAGTTTATTATTATTTTCCCACTCGATAATTCCTTTTCCCTCATTATCCTGTGAATATTTATTGGTTTTACGTCAATTTTAGTGGATAGTCTTCTGCTGTTTGAAGGTTAACGATAGAGAACGTTTGAACTTTCCTATAAAATTTTCCCCAATGGGATTTGTTGGCATATTCAGTTTGTGTGTCATATCTTATTTATCATTTTTAATTGAATAATGGTTGATGATTATGTTAATATTGACTTCTTCACTCAGCGTAGTCTTTTTTGTTGGTTAATACAGGTGGAGAGGTCGGTTTCGTACAATGAACACAGGCCAAGGAGACCTCCACCAGACTTGCCCTCATTGCTGCTACACGGGAGAATAGTTTACATTGGCATGCCTGTAAAACTTTCGTTCTGTCCTTGTGCCCTTTATTTTTCTCGACTGCAATTTTTTATTATGTTGTGGTAGAAGCTCAAGCAAGGAACAATGAGTAACCAACTCTGCCATAATCTCCGACACATAACGAATTTTTCTCATATAATTTGGTTCCTCCCAGCCTTCTAGAGATAAAGGTGTTTGCCACTTTGAGGTCACAATTCATTAAGTGGTTGTTTGGTCCCCATTTTCTAAAACTCATTTTTTCTCATCCTCTTTTCAACTATACATTTTATTAACTTTTATCAAAATTTACTAAAAATCACCTGGGAGGAAATGCATAAATATAAAATCACCTCTAATTATCTAATCAAGAGCTTTCATGGAGAAGAGATAGGAAATAAGTGAATGAACTATACTGCAAGCTCGATTTCTCATGAGTTTACCCAATACCTAGGAGCAAATGCATAATAAAACATTTAAACCTTTTACTCCAATAGCTTGGCCCTTCACTACCTAAGTTAGATTTCTGTGATAAAAAGTAATTTTGAGTCCAAATGTTTTGATGAAAATTGCTCTTTATACATCTGGATTTACTTAACATATTGAATTCACGGATTTCTCAGGTGAAACCAAAAAACCCAAGTGCACAAATGCTCAGGAAAAAGTTATATAACAAGAACAAGCACTTAGCAAGCTAAAGACAAGATTGGTTCAGGGATTTTGTACGTCTTTGATGATTCACAATAAACTCAACTAGTTGATGCCTTTTTAGGTGTCCTCTACGAAAGTTGATCAGTGGACAATAACTGATGTTGTGATACTCACACATACTAAAACACATAAACACCAGCTGACTCAACCTCCATGCTCCTGTTAAATATGATAAAAAGATTGTAAGCTAATTTCAGATATTAAATAGATAAGGTAATGTTCTAAAGGTTAAAAACTAGTCTGCTTGGCTGTTGAAGACGCACATGCATGGCATTTAAAATTCACCATGATGCGTAAATTTTCAGAAGGGGAACCTTATTTCTAGTTTAACGAACTTCTTTTCTTTTTTGAATTTTGTCAACCTAAATCTGTATTTGTTGTTCCAAAGCAAAAAAAACAATGATCCCTGATCTAATTTTCATTTAAACTAAATTTGTAAAATCGAATATTAATATTCTCATCTAAACTAAAATTGTAAAGGGTATATTAGTATATCTCTTCTTTTACATGGATTTTCTCCCTTGTACAGATTGTCTAATATAAGCATACTTGAGGGGAAAAAAGATCCTGCTTTCCTTGCACGATGAATGAGAGTGTTACTTGATCGTGTTGATATTTTTGTCTGGAATTATATTTTCTTTTCTTGTGCTTGTGGTTTGAAGAGAACTGACTTCGTTACTCATATGTTCTTTTACGTTCTCAGTTGGTTCCCGCTGTTACAGAGCTCGTTATAGCTGAGTTGATGTATCTCCAGTGGATGGATCCGAAAGAGCCAATTTACCTTTACATAAATTCCACTGGAACTACTCGAGATGATGGTGAAACGGTAACTACTATAAATTTTGCCCCTTCATATTTCTTATTTAGACTATATTCTCATATACCCCTCAATTTGTGTTTGTGAATATTATGTGCACTATCTAATGACAATTCAATTATCTGTCTCTCTTTGTATCAAGAGAATGAGAAGAAAAGATTGATCTAGCACTCTCTGATTAGTTTCATTTTTTTCGTAGCTTTCATAACATGCTTTTGCTTTAAGCCTGTTGGATTACCAATTAGTGACTGGCAACGAATACTTCAATGGTGTTTCTAGTAAATTATTGATCGTGGAAACTATATAACAAATAACCCAAGTTAGAAATATGTTTATTTTCTACTACAGCATTTCTTGAATGACTTGTCGAGTTTGCTAATAAAGCTCAAGAGGAGGCACAATAATGATGATGATGTTTAATGTTTAATTAAATGGTGCTTATTATTGAAATTCTTTAGTAAGTGGTCTCATGATACGTGATAAGTGAAGTGTTTTAAGGAAAATGAATTGCTAGGGGAAAAAAATTGAACCTGATGTATCAATACCATTAAGGATATGTACAATGAGTGATATTTACTTGATGTATCGTTTATCACTAAGGCCCCGTTTGATAGCACACATTTTCCATGGAAAATGGATTTTTTTTTCATTTTTCAACTTTTGTAGTGTAATATTTACGGGAAAATATTTTTAGAAATCAAGTGTGCTTCAACCTATGCCAACCAAGTTTGATTATGACTATCTACCCCACCCCATCCCATCCCACCCCACGGCACCCACGTCCCCCTAAATATCTACATATTCTAATTCCAACGTTATGGATAAATACATGTGTGCTATATTCAAGATGATATATTCTTATGGATCATTATCCATTGCTATTTAAATTTTTAATTTAGAAAATACAAATAAATTATTTGTGAAGTATTATAATTTTACTTCGCCAATGTGAATGAGGATTCACTTGACAAATGAACAAAGTTTATGTGACACTTTGTAAGATCCCAATTTTCCTAATATTCAATTATATTTGTAATAAGATGAGCGACGAGCTAAATAAATGCAAAAAAAATTAACAACTGATGAAAATTTCAATTCTGAATTTGTTGATTCTTTTATTGATATCTATGACGTTTGCTATTTGTTTGATTTTTTTTTTCCAATTTCAAATTTAATTACCGAATTAATTACTTATTTGTAAGCATTTTCATATTCAATCATAGGTACGAACTTTATATCACCTAAATACAATACACATTATGTAAAGTATGGCTTGAGTCATGTATAAGTACTTAATCAAATGATTTCAGACCGTTTGACTATACTTCTGCCTTTTTAAAAGAACTTTTTTAAAAGTTAACTTATGTCAATTGCTTCTAAAAATTCTTATAGCTCGACAAAACACTTTCAAAAGATAATCCAAATGAATTTCAAAAACTTTGCCTAACGGACCATTCGTATACTTGCTTTTATTTAATATATTGTCGAACTCCCACGAATGCTCGACCTTGAACATCCACAATTTTCAACCATAGCATTCAAATGGATAGTCAATTAATTACAATATTTAAACTATTAATTACAAATATTAAATTTTAACAATTTGTTGGTCAACTCCTTGATATATAGTCTCAACCATCATTTCCCGTTTAGTATTTAGGATGTGTTTGGGGCATATTATTTTGGAAAAATGTATTTTGAAATAGTAGATTGATGGAGAATGTGTGGTTAAAAAAAAAGAAATGTTATTGATGTGATGGAAAATATTATTTTAATGAAGAATATATGGTTGAAAATGAGTATAAGAATGAAAATGAAAATTTTAATGTAGCTCAAACAGAGGTTATTGGTAATTTACTTATATATTTTGGATAAAATTAATTTAATTAGTTATTAGTAATTATCTCTTTTATCTTGATAATCATTTAGGCCCCGTTTGATAGCACACATTTTCCATTCTTCAATTTTTGCAGTGTTTGATAGACAACATTTTCCCGGGATAATATTTTCCAACTTTTCAAATTTTCCACATTTTTGAAGAAAATAAATTCTTGATGTTTTGGCGGGTAAATTTTTTCCAGGTTTTTTTTTTCGGCAATTGGAAAAAATTATAGACACGATGGTAAAATTTTTTTTCACTTTTATTGACAATTTCTACACAAAACAAAGTCAAACGAATGATATTCGGTATGGTTATTTTTTTTTTTCAAATTTTTTTTTTTGGCAATTAGAACAAATTCTAGACCCAATGGTAGAAAACATTATCACTTTAATGGACAATTTTCATAAAAAAGAAGCCAAATGAACACCAAACTTTCAACATTTTCCATGGAAAATTATACCAGTCAAGCACAATTAATTATAATTTCCAGTAAAACAATTTCTAGGCAAATCAATTCCCTGTAAAACATTTTCTTTCCACCAATTTTTCACATTTACAATCAAACGGACCTTAAGGTTATGTATAATGAAGCAGCCACAAACTTGTTATCTAGCTTGACCAGTGGTAGAATTTTTTTTATCAGAATAAGCTTGGTTCAGTATCTTGATACAAGTTATTATCTCTATGCTTTGGTAATGAATGAACTTAGCAAGCACATTTGCAATGAGTTTTCTTAGTGAATGTTATTATGTTACTAGTTCGTAACACAATTTCAGTTGATGAGTGTCAAATTATAAGTTAAAACTCGAAGAGAACTTTGGATTAAGAGTTTGAGGTTAAATAGAACTAGATAGAATATGTGTAATGAGTTACAATAGGAATGGAAATGATTGATGAAATTAAAATAGACGAAAATGTTAATATGATATCATGAAGTTGGCAAAATAAGAGTGTTTGTTTCAAGTAATTAAACTTGATTATTAATAACATAAGAGCACGCGTGAACGATGTAATGCTTGTGATTAAAAAAAGTTGGCAAAATGAACATTTGTTATACGAACACATGTTGTTTGAAAATACTTCGGAAATAACTTCTGTGGAATAACAATTGAATCAACTATGCTTTACTTATTGAGCTTTAGAACACTAAAGTACAAATGTCAATAAGATGAATGCAACGTATATAATATGTTCAAATGGATATGTAGCCATACTAGAATGGATAATATTGGAGGTTTCACCAGTTGAGGATCAATTAATAGAAGTCATCCTAGATAGATAGGGGGTGTTTTGCGTAGTTCTAGAGAACTCCCATTAACTAGACTGAATCAATGCATTAGAAGATGAAGAGGTAGATCAAAACTAGCGAACTTGGGATGATAGTGAAAAGATTTGAATTCCTCAAACCTTTGAAAAGAGGTAGCTCTAGACCGAGTCTCTGTTGGCTAAATTTGTAAGTACTTGTAAGTAGTGGGTCTCAATGTGTTGTTAAAAAGTAGATAAAAATTGTAGGTCTCAAGGAATGTGTGGATAAAAAAAAAATTTTAACTAGCTTCTAAACAATTATAAACTTTGCCAAACATGCACCAAATGGAGTGATGAAAAAGGATTGATGTAACCAACTGCAAATTTCATTGGGAACAAAGTTTAGCTTATTGTTGTTGCATACACTCAATTCAACATCTTCATTGATCAAGTAGTTTATGTCGCTTCAAGATTTTAGTTCTCAATTTATTACTACTTTTTATATTTTATCAGCGGTGGTAACATATTTTGCTATTCCAGGTTGGGATGGAGACAGAAGGGTTTGCAATTTATGATGCAATGATGCAGTTGAAGAATGAGGTAAAATTTTGTGTATCATGCCTACTCACTATCCATGTATCTACATGGTGCTTTGTGTTGTCGGAAGTATACACAAGTTAGCATATCGAAAGAAATATTTCTTATTCTATTCTAATGTTTGATATTTGGGTTGTTACTCCAAGCCGGGAGTGACGCTCTAAAGCTGTAAGGAATATAAGCACTACAAATTGATAGATTGAGCATTAATTGACCATAACATGTTCTGTTAAATGCGTGGAAGATAAAAATGGGAAATAATGGTTGGAGGCCGTGTTTGGGAATTTTTAGACTGTGGATGGGTGAAATAAATTGTTTATTGATAATAGTGTTTGAATTCTTGGTAGTGTTTTGTTGGACCTTCAAAATACTAGTCTTGGGAAGTGTGTCTTTTGTCATCATCCTAAATGATCACTAAAAAGAATTTCAGAAGTGAAGTCTGAAAATAAATAGTATTTTACAATAAATATCATGCACTGTCAATGATCTAGTTTGGCTATTATTATGAAGGATCATTCCTTTCCTAAAGTAGATTGATCCCTGAAACACAAATGTCTTGTCAAAAGATTTTAACAAATTTTTATATGTATAAAATTTTAGATTTTACAATTTGCACGTTTTTAAACCTTTTTTTTCTCATTTTCCCTTTCATATATAGCCCTTGTTTGATCCCAATTTTTCTAAAAAAACACATTTTTCTCAAAACTCATTTTTAACCACATTCACATAAAAAAATATTCTATATGTAAACCCAAAACTTTTCCACTACTTTTTAACTACACATTCTCTAAAAAATCACTATTCCAAAATCTATTATACCAAAAATGGGGCTCAAACAAGGGCATAATATTACTTCAAAATTATGAAATAATATAACTGCACTATCAACTAGAACTAGATAACATTGGTTTAGTAGATTCTCCCATTTTTTCAGTTAAAACTATATAAACAACATTGCGTTTATAAAATTTGAGGGGAAGGGGAGAGAGTGAGGCACAAACGAATAGGAGGAAATGATGTGAGATTTCCTTGCAAATGGTGAACTAAGGAGAAAGACAACGAAGAGAATGAGAGAGCCGTGATGCATACATTTGTATATGGTGTTAGTTGATGGTGTTTTATGATGACAGAGGACACTACTTTCGAGCTTCTGCACACCCTATATAATCGGTACGTGGTTGACAATTAGTTCTACAACTCACTATTGTTAACCTCGTGAACAATTTTCGTACGTATCATCCAGTTATTTATATATATAATCTTTAAGACGTCCTTGCTCTCAAATATATTTTTAACATGTATCTCCAGTTAATGCAATGATCGATGATTATGTTACTAAAGTTTCAAATATGTGAAGCTACAGAAGTTAGTGGTTACTGGTGCTATTGGGTGGTGAAAGGACTTAATGATATGAAGTTATATATCTACTGATTGGGATTGGCTATGTTAACCCATTATTTCCATTTTTGACTATCGGGGGTAACTCTTTTCTCAATCCACTAGTCATTGTTATTTAACTTATTCAAAGACGAGTAATAAGTATTTCAGTTTCGAGATATTTTTAAATTTTCGCATCTATTGGCAAAATTGCATTTTATAAAATGCTTTGCTCTAGCAGGCATGAATATAAATAGATAGCCCTGTGCCCATCTTAATACAGACGGAGCACTCATTTGCCCCATTTAATATTATCATAATATAATTTTTGTCTAAGAAATTTAACTTTTTTAAATAATACTGAACATCCCCGCCCCGAACCCGAGTGAAGGTCAGGTTTCTTGCCCGCCCCGCTGAGGAATTCCTGCCCCATTGGGGTCGGCGCCTTGCTGGTCTCGGTCGAACCGAGGTTTTTTGCACCTAAAGTGGCTTGTGCTGTGGCCTGTGGTCTAATTCAAGAAGGTTATTGCTTGTGTGAATAGTTGCTTTGCCAAATTTTAATTAGTTTACAACTTTACATTCTCTCTTTGTATTCCCGAACTTGTCTCTGTCATTGGTTTTGAAAAGACGAGATTTTAATATTTTCTTATGTGTTTTACATCCCTACATATTAATCTCGTCTGCAGATACATACAGTTGCTGTTGGAGCTGCTATAGGCCAGGCGTGTCTGTTACTTGCATCAGGAAGCAAGGGCAAAAGGTTTATGATGCCGCATGCAAAAGGTATGTTGTGATTGACTACATCTGGGTTGAGATGGTGATTCCTGATGTCTTTTTGCCTGTTTAAACTGTAAACTTAATTCTGTTTCAGCAATGATTCAACAACCTCGAGTCCCGTCTTCTGGGTTGATGCCAGCCAGTGATGTTCTCATACGTGCAAAGGAGGTAAGTTTCAGCTCTTTCGGTAGCTCTCCTTTTCAATTTGGAAGGATGATTCTCGATTATTGCAATATAAACTCCTTGATAGAGTACACTCGTAGCGTCTGCCCTTCTTTTACGGATTGATTCACCCTCTGGTTGGATGAATCCTCTATATAATAGAATTGTGTAATATGATCCACACCATATTCTCTATACTAACATAAAAAAGAGAATTTATTGTGAAAATATCCTCTATATATATGCTGGTTCTAGGCAAGCAATAATAGAAGATTTGATAATGGAAGTTATATAAACATGTGCCAATAAGTACAAGAAAACCCCCATCTGACAAACCAACAATCACTTGTGTAGACCCCCCTCTCCCCATCCACCACACACACTCAGCGAGAGATGTTGTGGAAAGAATTCTGTGAAATCTGGAATTGAAGTTGAGATGAATATATTACTGCACTTAACCTCTATTTTTGGGGATCTTGACTGAATTCTTTTACAGGTGATAATAAACAGAGACATTCTTGTTGAACTTCTGTCCAAGCACACCGGAAATGTGAGATTGACGAATCAAAAATATTTTCATCGTGTTTTCTGGTATATGTAGCAGAAATGAACACACATTGTTTTGTTTCATATTTGCCCAGTCCTTGGAGACTGTAGCTGACGTGATGAGGAGACCATTTTATATGGATTCAACAAGAGCTAAAGATTTTGGAGTCATTGATAAGGTAGGTTATTGCCAATTCTGCTACAGAATATTTTTGTCCCTTCTTGCCCTGGCCTAACAGACTGATATCATATTTTGGGATTCAGATACTTTGGCGTGGTCAGGAAAAGATTATGGCAGATGCTGCCCCGCCAGAGGAATGGGACAAGAATGCCGGGATTAAAGCCCTTGATGCAATTTAAGTTTATTCTGGAAGGATTGTGCGGTAAATTTTTCCTTTTAATGCAAAATTGATTTGTAAGTTAAGAGGTAACTTAGATTGGTAAATTTCTTACATTCACTCCCTTCTAAAATAGCCCCAGTTACCATTACAGATGAACGTGTTTTGTGCAGGGCTGAAAATACATGAAAATTGAAACAGCAGGACAAATATTTATTATTGAGTGTAGAGAGAAGGGTTCTTGTAAAAAAATTTTGAGTGAAGCTGCTGTTCATTTTCGCTCACTACATTGGTCCTTCTTTCACAGAACCCAATCATTGCAAGAATGTCTATAGCAGCTGCATAAACAAGTAGATAAAGAAATTTCCTCAATTATTTGAAAAAGGAAGAATGGAACAAATGGAAGGATCTTAGTATCTAATAGCTTAAATGAACTCTAAGCAACATCAATGGTCTAACTATTGAAGGTGTGGCGAACTGTTCGTACTAGTAAATTTCCTAGTGATGCACTTTACGTGTTGAGTAGCAGATTCTAAAAATTTGAGGGTCAGCAATATTCATCCCCCCTTGGTTGTTGCTGAGCAGCAATTGTAAATTGAATTCTTCTTTCTGAAGGAACACATTTTGGCTGAGGATTTGTTTCAGCTATTTGATTTTATAACATTGGATGCTGTCTTTTGGTGCAGGTATATCAGCTAGGGAAAAAGTTCGTAATCGTTATAATTTGTTCAAATTCTAGATTCAAGAGCTGAGATTCGATTGCATGAGGAAGGCAATGAAACTTTGCTGGAAGATTGGTCGTATAGAAATATCAATATCGTTGTACCATAATTGTCATCCCTCACACAGAGCTTCTCAAGTAGACCATACTACGTAGTTTTGTGGAAGCAGTTGTTGTTCTACAATGAGAAGCAGAGATAGTGATAGCCTGTATCTGAAATGACTTTGAGTAGTTGTACGCATCTATTTGAATCTTTTTTAGGGTGAAGACTTTGAATTAATTGCTTGTTGGGAATGACTCAATTGGGAAAAATAAAACAATGATTTGCTGGTCTTAAATTTGAGAATGGTTGTGTACAAGACCTAACCTACTTAGGTCTTAAATTCGGACTTCTTCTGATTTTTCGTGTTGAGCTTTTGGAGGATTTGGTCGTTTGATTGAACGAACATTGTAACAATTTTTTTAACTGACACTTAAATCATAATGTCACTCCCGACTCTTGTTCTATCAACACAATGTTGAAAATACTGGCCATCCATATCCCGTAATAACCAACAGTAAAGGACAGAAAACACTTACGCTGAAGACATAAAAAAGTAAAACAAATGCAACAGAAGAGTTTAAAATGGTCGTGTCACAAATTCAACCCACAATAAATCTTTATGGAATTTACACCATACTGACCATGAATTGCCAAACTGAAGAAAATAAACATATTGATGTGGTCCAAGGAGCCGTCGCAACAAGGACAAGTCCGGGGAAATATTCATTGATAGTTGAAGAAGGGCCGATGACTCGATTGAGGGTAAGGCGAGTAAAAGAGGCGATGACATTGCTTGTTCAAGCTATGGTCGACGATATGGCGTTCGCAATGAAGAATGAAGCAAGTTCCGTGTTGGCGTCGAGGCCGGAATCAAATTGGAAGAACCTGATATGGATGGCTGAAGACCGGACAGCAGGCAATGGCGCGCCTGCGCCAACTGAAAGGGACACACAGTGTGGTCGTGTTGGGGTCGAGGCCGGAATCAAATTGGAAGAACCTGATTTGGATGGCTGAAGACCGGACAGCAGGCACTGGCGCCCCTGCGCCAACTGAAAGGGACTCAGAGTGTGGAAGACTATCACAAGGAGATGGAGATTTTGATGATTAGGGCGAATATTGTGGAAGATGAGGAAGCTACCATGTCTAGATTTATGAATGGATTGAATAGGGAGATAGCAAATGTAGTGGAGTTACAAAATTATGTGGAGATGGAGGAACTACCACATGTGTCTATGAAGGTGGAGAAACAAGTGAAGATGAAGGGAACAGCTAGGTATTCATCGGGATCTTTGGGTTCCAATCCTTCATGGAAACCAAGGTGGGATAACAAAAGTGATGGAGCTGTTCAAAAAGGGAGAGCTGAATATTCAAAGAGTAAAGAGGAGAATACTACTAAGGCTCCAATCAAGGCGGGAGCCCAACCAACAAGGGATAAAGACATCCAATGCTTTCGTTGTTTGGGATCGGGGCACATTGCTTCTCAATGTCCAAACAAAAGAACAATGGTGGTGCGCAATGGCGAAGTGGTGAGTGAAAGTGAAAGTGATTATGAAGACATGCCGAAATTGGAGGAAGTTGGCGAAGAAGTGAAGACAGAGTATGCTGTGGGAGAGTTATTGGTCACAAGGCGAGCTCTTAGCGCTCAAATCAAGGCGGATGACTTGGAACAGCAGAGGGAGAACATATTCCACACAAGATGTCATGTCAACAATACGGTATGTAGTGTTATTATTGATGGGGGTAGTTGCACTGATGTAACTAGCACCACACTTGTAGAGAAGCTAGGACTTGCAATGTTAAAACATCCCAAACCATATAGATTGCAATGGTTGAATGATAGTGGTGATATTAAGGTGAACATGAGGGTCTTGATTAGTTTTTCTATTGGGAGTTACCGAGATGATGTTATGTATGACGTAGTTCCTATGCATGCGGGGCATATATTGTTGGAGAGACCATGACAATATGATAGGAAGGTGATACATGATGGGTACAAAAATAGGCACAACTTTAGGAAGGATGGGAAGGCGATTACTCTTGCACCATTGACACCACAGCAAGTGTTTGAAGATCAAATTAAGCTAAAAAGTGAGGAGGAGAGGATAGTGAAGGAAAGGGAACTTAAGAGAGAAAATTGTGAGGTTGCTAGTAGAGAGGAAAAGAGAGTGGAGCCACATGAAGGGAAAAACAATGAGGTTGAGAGAAAAGAAAGAGAGATTGAGAGAAAAGAAAGAGAGAAAGAGGGAAAAGAAAAGAAGAGGAGAGAAAAAACGAGAGAAAATTTCTTTGCAAAAGGAAGTGAGTTGAAAAGAGCTATAGTTGATAAGAAACCCATGATTCTTTTGGTATACAAAGAATCACTCATAAGTCATGAGGAGCTTAACATATCCCTCCATAGTTTGGCTACATCTTTGTTGTAGGAATTTTAAGACGTTTTCCTGGAGGACGTGTCCAGTGGGTTACCACCTATTCGAGACATCGAACACCAAATTGATTTTGTACCTGGAGCTGTTATTCCAAACCGACCAGCATATCGTAGCTATCCCGAGGAGACTAAGGAGTATGTGTGAGAAAGCTTGAGTCCATGTGCCGTGCCGGTGTTACTCGTACCGAAGAAGGATGAGACTTGGAGGATGTGTGTGGATTGTAGAGCCATCAACAACATTACGGTAAAGTATCGACATCCTATCCCTAGGTTAGATGACATGTTAGATGAACTACACTGTGCATGCATATTTTCTAAAATTGATCTTAAGAGTGGATATCATCAAATTAGAATGCGAGAAGGGGATGAATGGAAAACTACTTTTAAAACTAAATATGGATTATATGAATGGTTGGTTATGCCATTTGGTCTTACTAATGCACCTAGTACTTTCATGCGTTTGATGAATCATGTTTTGCGTGCTTTCATAGGTAAATTCGTGGTAGTATACTTCGATGATATCTTGATTTATAGTAAGGATTTGAATGAGCATGTGGAACATTTGAAGTGTGTGCTTGTGGTTTTAAGAAAAGAACAACTTTATGCTAATTTCAAAAAGTTTTCATTTTGCATGGAAAAAGTTGTCTTCCTTGGATATGTTGTTAGCGCTAAGGGAATAGAAATTGATGAAGATAAAATCAAAGCTATTAAAGAATGGCCAATACCTAGGAGCACAACTGAGGTTAAGAGTTTCCATGGCTTGGCTAGCTTTTATAAGATATTTGTTAAGGAATTTAGCACGCTTGCCACAACACTCACAGAAGTCGTTAAAAAGAGTGTAGGATTTAAATGGGGTGTAGAATAAGAGATTGCATTCAAAGCTATTATTGATAGGTTATGTAAAGCACCCGTCTTAGCATTACCTAACTTTGATAGAGCTTTTGAAATTGAATGTGATGCGTTGGGAATAGGTATTGGTGCTGTTTTGATGCAGGATGGAAGACCAATTGCATATTTCAGTGAGAAGCTAAGCGGTACAGCACTCAACTATCCTACATACGACAAGGAGTTGTATGCACTTCTTGGAGCTTTGGAGACTTGGCAACATTATCTATGGCCGAAAGAGTTCGTGATCTATACCGACCATAAATCCTTGAAGCATCTGCGGGACCAAGGGAAGCTAAACAAGAGACATGCACGCTAGATGGAATTCATTGAGACATTTCCATATGTCATTCGGTACAAACAAGGTAAAGAGAATGTAGTAGCCGATGCGTTGTCACGACGGTATGTGCTTCTTATTTCTTTGAGTGCAAAATTGCTTGGATTTGAATATGTGAAGGATGTGTATGTGAATGATGATGATTTTTCGGATATATGTAAGTCGTGTAGTAAGGGGGTTGTTGATAAGTTCTTTGAGCATGATGACTATTTATTTCGGGAAAATAGATTGTGGGTTCCTAAATGTTTTATGAGGGAGTTGTTGGTCCGAGAGTCGCATAGTGGGGGTTTGATGGGTCATTTTGGGGGTCAAGAAGACTTTAGAGATGATGGGAGAACATTTTTATTGGCCTAAGATGAAACGTGATGTAGAGAGGATATGTAGTCGATGCATAACATGTAAACATGCTAAATCTAAGGTTTTACCACAAGGACTTTATACATCTCTACCTGTGCCTAGTGAACATTGGGTTGATATCTCTATGAATTTTGTTTTGGGTTTACCTAGGACTAAGAAAGAATGAGATTCAATTTTTGTGGTTGTAGATAGGTTTAGTAAAATGGCACACTCCATTCCTTGCCATAAAACCGATGATGCTACAAACATTGCATATTTGTTCTTTAAGGAAATAGTACATTTGCATGGAGTACCTAAGAGTATTGTATCGGATAGGGATGTTAAGTTCCTCAGTCATTTTTGGAAAGTTTTATGGAATAAGTTAGGAACTAAGTTATTATTTTCTACTACTTGTCATCCATAAACTGATGGATAGATCGAAATAGTTAATAGGACTATGATTCAATTGCTATGTACTGTGATTAATAAGAACTTGAAGAGTTGGGAAGAGTGTTTACCTTTCATTGAGTTTGCTTATAACAGGGCAGTACATTCTACTACTTCAATTTCTCCATTTGAAATTGTCTATGGTTTTAACCCACTAACGCCATTGGATTTGATTCCTTTGCTTGTTAATGAACATGGTATTTAGATGGGAAACGGAAGGCGGAAATGGTAAAGGCATTGCATGAGAAGGTCAAGTTCCAAATTGAGCAAAAGAATAAGCTCTATGCTACACAAGCCAACAAAGGGTGGAGAAACGTCACATTTGAACCTGGCGATTGGGTTTGGTTACATTTGAGAAAAGAACGATTTCCAGAACAACGAAAGTCCAAGTTGCAGCCTCGTGGAGATGGTCCTTTTCAAGTCCTTAAACGGATCAATGACAATGCTTACAAGCTAGATCTTCCTGGTGAGTATAACGTTTCAGCTACTTTCAATGTGTCTGATC